TAAATTGAGCTCAAATTTTATGCCTCCTCCTCCTTTCACTGTCTCTGTATGAAACAGGGGAGAATGGAAAGCAATGGGTGAGGATCCGGGGAGGTGAGCAACCAAGACAGCAGATGAGGAAATGTGAGAGCATACCATTGCCTCCTTTTGGGCGCTTGTTAAAAAGCTTTATAGGAGGGTGCCTTCTGCTTTGCTTTGTCTCCTAGACCCCACATTTATTTTTATTTTCCTGAGTACCTTAGGACATGTCAACACTTGTAGTTACTTAAGCAGGCAGTCTCAGCAGCTGGCGCATCTTCAGCCGCCATCTCCCACTGCCAGACAAAAGTGCCAGACAGATGTCAGTTTAGAATAGCAGAATTATGCATTTCTTTTTATTTAAGAGCAAAAACAGATCTTCTGACGGGTCCACAGCCTTGGGTTGTTGTTGTTGTTTTAAATGTGCAGCAGTTCTCTGCTTGACAATAAAACCTATCAAGGCAGCTAGGCACTGTTATTGCGCCATAGGATCTACCTTTGGGCTTTGATGTGGCAGGTTATTAGAGGGGGACAAGGCCACCAATGGTCAACTGACTCTTCCTCCCTCCCCCGAGAAGAAGCAAAGGTAACCACATTGGTCCAAAAGTGAAAACTCCCAAATACGTTGGAACCAACTCAGGGGCGCCGACTTATAAAAAATATTGGGGGGGGGGCCATGCTGGTCAAGGAAGGCTCCCCTCCTCCAAAGCTGGAGAGGCGAGGCCCAGCCGAGAAGGGGCCAGCCCGGAAGGCGCAGCTTCACAGCCGAAGCTGTCCTCGGCTTGGGGAGCCGGAGAAGCTGTCGGGTCAGGGCCCTGGCACAGGCCTAGCCGCTCCCGCGACACCTCTTTGCTCCCGGGATCGGGGCCGCCAGCTCAGCGCTGGAGCCGAGGGAGCCCCCAGGCAGGCCTGCAAGCAAAGGCAGAGCCGCCGGGCGGTGGCCGCTTCTGCAAGGCGGCCGGAGAAGCAGGGACCCCCTCCCCCCCGCGTCCCCCCCACTCGCTCCCCCCTCTGAAACTTTGTTAACACTTCCACGCTGAGCCTCTGACAATAGGGGCGGGCCGAGGGCACGACGCGGCTGGGCCCTCTGGACTCGCGCCCCCCCAATTTTTCTTAAATTATTGGGGGGGCAGAGCCCCCCCAAACGAATTTTTGAGGGGGCTCGGGCCCCCTCAGGCCCCATGGAGTCGGCGCCTATGAACCAACTGAACTGTCACAAAAATGTGGCAAGCCACTGAGCTTTCCTAGACCTCTTAATCAGGCGGTATAGTGCAGGAAACAGGGAGTGAGGAGGGATGAGGGGAAATCGAACGCGTACAAAAATTAGGACGGTTTTGTAGCCACAGTTATGGTTGATGACTCTTCCAAGCAGCTTGCAAATGAGTCAGAGCTTCCTGCTAGGTTGTGAGTTAGAACCAGCTTTGTCTGGAAGAGCTTCCGCAAGGCCTGTCAAAAAATAAAATAAAAAAGCAGCAGCCTGGGTTTTAAGGGGGCCGAACAGGCATCTCTTTGTGGGAAAACCCTGCCTGTGTGCTTGTGTCTGCACCCCTGTAATGCCTTCTTAATCGTTCGTTTGTAAACGGGCCACTATATAGATTCCATCACGTTACAGCTGCCTTGAGTTTTCCCACTCCTTGAAGGAGCATGAAACACCACCCCAACATGTCTCCGTCCAGGGACCAAAACAAGTTTTAAACACCAGGCAAAGCTCTCCAGCTAAAAACCTCCATCACAGCACATAGGGCCAGTAAGAAAATATTTACGTATTGGTTTCACTATTTTTGGGAGATCTCCTAGCTGGTAACACAGACATCTCTGTGTACAGGTAAATAAACAGAGGGGAGGGCATTCTCTGAACCTCTCAACTGCTCTCCTCTTGCAGATACTGGAAGCACGTTTTCCTACCATTTAACACAGCTGTTCTTCCTGGCCTCCTTCCTCACAGATTCCTCCTACCCATGTGAACCCCTTCAGTTTGAAGATACAGGGCCTGCCTTGAATCTTGTATACTGATGTTTTGGTTTTAAACAAACTAAAACAGCTGTTTCTGGCAGAATGATATTGTCCATTCGAAGATGGGGTTTAAAAGGGGGACGTGGCGGAGAGATGATTCTTCCGCTTGAGTTAAAGCACGGCCCAGGATAAACGAGAAAGCAAGAGATGGGAAAACAGATAAAAGTAGGAGAGAGCAGCTCTCTCAACGGCCTTGGAAGGCTGAGAGCAGCTGGAAATGCTAAACTTTTTGGCTTGATGCACGCCTACAGTTCTGTCTCTGAGGCATGTTGGATGGGGCAGGGTGGCGGAGCTGCAGAATTTTAGGCCATTAGGTGAGTAAGCAATACCAAACCCAATTGTCTCAGGGCAGTATCTTGCTTGTATCCTGTGCACATGTGGGGAAATGCACTCAACTACAGCATGCACCACTTTTTCCTTTCACGAGGCCAGAAGTAGGGCAACAGGCTTTATCATCAGAGGTTCAGTGCCACTGCAGGCTTCTTTTAACATTGGTAACTCCTCCCTTTTTGAAAATGTTTCGCAGGACTACCATAGGGATACCTTTGGAACTCCGATGGCTCCATTCCAAACTCATTTTTTTCTGTGTTACTACATGAACATTTAGTTGCATTTAATTACGTTTTAATGACTGCCTTTTCTACGTTTTAGTTTGTTCTATATATTTTTTCTGTGTAAGCTGCCTTGAGTCCCAGACTGGGGAAAAGGTGGGTTATAAATAACTTTAACTTAGTGCAATGACAAGCCCAGTGTTAGAAATTCCCCAGACGCCAGGGGTGTTTTGCATCTGACGTGGGTCCAACTGCAGCCATGTGGAGGTCTCTGGATGCTAGGATGGTGATGGGTATCTCCATCTGGCTGCTCCCTCCAGCTTCCTTAAGCAGGTAAGCAGAAGAGCTTTATTTATGGAGTACATGGTTCACCCCTCTTCTCAGTCAATCCCTACAACGACCCTGTGAGGTAGTCTAAGAGGCTGCGACTGGCCCAAGGTCACCCATTGAGCTTCATGACTGAGTGGGGATTTGAACTCTGATCTCCCAGGTCCTAGTCCAACACTCTAACCACTACACCACACCGGCTTCCTAGAGTACTTCTGCTATGGGGCAGCTACATAAATTAGGCAGATAAATATGGGGAAAGCAAAATGTCACTTGGATCTGGAATATTTTCCTTGAAGCGTCAATTTGTTTTATTCTGGTTTGTTTTATCTGATGTTTTAATGTGTTGTAAACTGCTTTGAGGGCTTCTTTCTTTAAAATACAAAGCGCTATAGAAAGCAATCAAATAAAAATAGTTGTTGCTGCCTTTCTGCTTCGAAGACTCCTGAGCCAATAACCTTACCCTTGTAGGACGCTTTGTGTGCCAAAATTTTTGCTTTGCAAAGTGAACCCGACGGCTGATAGGAGCTGCTTTGCACTGCCCCAAGGCAACAGGGGGTCAGGAGGCCACACAGCAAAGGAAGCCCGTAACTGGGCTTATGCGCCATTCTCCTGGGCCAACTGCATCCTTTTACAGCACAGATGGAAGTGAAGACAGCATGCTGATTGAATCTTGACAGAAGACACGAGGGGGGTGCGAGGCTGTGTTGTTGGAAACCTGATTTTTCTATACTCTAGCAAGTCAAAATACCCAGAAGGTCAAAGCCTGTCTCACTCTCTCACAGACTGAAGATGTGTTCATCAAGTTTCCAAAAAAAAAAAAAAAACCCCATCAACCACCCACCCTTCCTTAAATAAATATACCAGCACTGAATGACGCCCTTGTGCTCAGGAAGGTCAAATGATTGGCTTAGGAGAAAATTGCCTCTCTGTGTCTATCCCCGGGCTAGCTAGAGTCGGGAGCCTTTCTGTGTTATCTCCTGAGAGCTGCCAAAGAATTACACCCCCTCCTATTCCTGGGTCTGCTCCTACCAGTGATTCTGGACTCCCACTTTTGGCCTGGACTCTTATCCCCCAGTAGATACAGCAAGACTGGCAGACACTGTGCTTAACCAAGCATCTCCATATGCTTGCACCATGTCAATATAAATTAAAATAAGTATATAAAAATGTCCGCAGCCTTACAAAACAGGAAGCTTTCTCAGCTGCCAAAGTACAAGAACAGGGGCTCTCTGGGGGAATGAACCCCATATTTGATATAGGGTTAGCCAGGCTGCAGTCCAGAAAACCTGCCTTTACCTTCAACCAGATGAGGTTGCTGGCATGGCATCGCCCTTCCTACACCAAGTGGCTCCTCCCTCCTCCTATGGGGCAAAAGCAAAGTCTTGCCTGCTTCGCCACCTTGCAGAAGCGAGTTTGGCAATGTCGCTGTGACATCAAACGTTTTAATGATGAAGTGGGTTGTCTGGGCTGCAGCATGACAGCCATACCTATTTTGCTTTCCGTGAATATATTTAAAGGATAGCTTGATTCTAGACTTGCCAGTCACCTGTGATCTGTAAAGTATAAATGCAACTAATGACTGCAATCCGGCACACTTAAGCCCCATTGGCTAAAATTATTGGTATAGCGTTACTGGGCAATGGATTATGGCTCCCCTGCATTTTCCGGTGTGATAAAACGGTATGCAATACTTTTCTTTTTCATTTTAAGATCTTAAAGAAAAAGTCTGTATGCCATCATACTGTGAAGCCTCTTCTTATGTGACTGCAACCACGTCCCCCTCCTCAAACACACACCACCTTTTCATTGGCAAATAAATAAATAAATGCACCTCTTGCAGTGCAATAGGAAGAATTCCGTTGAGCTGAGGATACAGAACACATTGTTAAAAGAACAAATGGCTCTCCTTATCGTTTCTAAGATAGTTAGAGCTATTTGCAGCTGTGAGATTACAGAGGGAGAATAAAATGTAATTGTTTCCTGCCCAGTTCTTTCCTTTAAATAGAACCCTTCTCTCCCATAAAAGATTCTTGCAAAAAAAAAACAGGAAGGGAAAAAAGACATGTTTTATTTTAACCAGAGCTACTCTTAATTTAATTGCATTTCTATTTATTGGGAAACATTTCCGAGTCTGTTTTTCTTTTGGTGCAGTCCCAATTCCTGCTAATAAAGTTATTTTTCATCTTCACCTCCCCCCCCATACAATAAATAAATAAACAAACCCACTGCACATTTTACAGCTAAAGACAGACAGAAAACATACAAAACTGGAACCATTTTGTAGATGTAAAGAAATTATGGCTGCAAAGCCACAGTTGTACTTTTTTTGAAAACAACAACACAACAGAATGTGAAAGCACAATTAAAATTAAGCAACAGCAGAAGCAACACATAGTGAACACAGTGCTGGCTGAAACTTGCCATAAACCAGAATAATTTCCAATGGGCATGGGGGCTGTTAAAGTATCCTACCTGCCTGTGGACTGGATATCTTGAGATTCAGAAGTAAAGACTGTCCATATTGTTTTTCATAGAAAGTTCTCACAGCTATCCCAACACCTCTGTACTGTGTCCTTTGGAAGAGGCCATGTTTGGGCCATGCTTCCTTCTAGTAATATTCAAGAGAGAGAGCAAGCTATGCTGCATCTGACCCTCGTCCTGCTTAAGACTGTTTCATAGGTAGCATTCTGCCTCCACTGAGATGTCCACCCTGCAGGGAAAAGAATTTGCACCATTAGGTGCAAAGTCAGTAGAAGTGTTTGCTTTGCCACCTGTATGTAGCTTCCCAACCAAGGCAAAAAGCAAGCACGTGTCCTAACGTTATGACAACGGCACAGGTAGCTTTTCCTCAATATTTCTTCTGTGTAGAAACTGACATTTAAGCCTCAGTTATACATTTCGTAGCATGTGCCATATCATACTGTCTCCTGCATCCATAACCTCTAACCACGTGGTTTGGGCAGATTGTGCAGCTCCGCACCACACTAATAATATCTGCTAGTACATAAACCCAGAATTCACCTGAGCCGCCATGTGAGTGGATGTTGCAGCTGTGGATGCAACCATCCTGCTCTAGACCAGGTTTCACCAGTCTGGTGCCTTCAGACATTTTGGGCTAGAAGCAGCCGTGCTGGTTGGGGCCAATGGGAGTTGGTTGTCCAAAACATATGAACGTATATCAATGGAGCTTTCGAGTGATCCCAAAAAAGTGTTTTACGTATATACATCAATGCGCACCATTCAGCAGGACTCCGTTTCACTCTATGCCAAGTTATATAAGAGCAACGTGTCCCAAACTTGGGTCTCTGGCTGTTTTTGGACTACAACTCCTATCATCCCTAGCTAACAGGACCAGTGGTCAGGGATGATGGGAATTGTACTCCAAAAACAGCAGGAGACCTAAGTTTTGGAAACACTGCAACAGAGCATGAACATTTCCCTACAGTGACCCCCAAAAGAGAATTTTGCTTGCATCTAAGAACCAGCCCTTCCCCACCATAGACAAGAGGGTTCCCTTCAACAGTGGGGCAGGTGCTCTCAATGCCTGCTGTGTGCAGAAGAACTCCAGATCCATGCGGACTGCACCCACATCCATCTCCTTTGCCCATGGCGCTGTCCTGGACTGGAAATGAATGCACAACCCTTGTTTAAAGGCTTCCCTGAATTACGACTGAGGGAAATTTCACACATCATAGGCATCATTTGGTAACTCGGCTGATTGCTGAATGTGTGAGACAGCGAGGTTTGTCACCACTTATCAGTCAGGCAAATTATCTCCACCGAAGACAGGTTAATAAGGGGAGGGTGGAGGGGAAAAAATAATTTGTGCTCATTTGCTGTACAGGTGACTGGTGCTAGTAATCTTGAGTGTGTGAAGTCATCCAACTGGGTGAAAATTAGCTGATGTGAACACCCACTTCCTCTGTGATGCTTTCTGTGGAAAACCTAGCTTTGGAACTTTGGAAGACATTTTGGAAAGAGTTAATGGCAACCCAGAAGCATTTTTCTTAACCTTCTGTTCAGCGGCATACTCTTTCTTTTTATCTTCTACTACACCATGGTATAAATTTTCTGTTTAGATAATCAACTGTTTTTTCTGGGTGGGGTGGAGAGATGATATTTTTTCCCCGCAGCTGTGCAAAAATCCTCTTTTCATTCCCTGATCACTCACTTCATGTCAGGAAAATAGGACCGTGATGCATACAGTTCTATTCTGAGCGGGTTAAAGTAAAATGCAGTTACTTATTCGGCAATTCTCTCCCCATTCTCCCCCCCCCCAAAAAAAAATAGAGCAATGGTCTTAAATGCCGTAAGCATTAACAGCTTCTGGCTGAACGGCATTTGTTAAAAGAAAGAAAGAAACAAAAGGAAATGAAGGTTCTAATAATATATGACTCCATAGACATCTCAGCCAATTGAGATTGGAGATATTTTACCTATTACAGAAAGCAATTGTTTCTTTTTTAAGGTGTTAAATTAGCATTGCAAGAAAGAACTGTGACAACTGTGAAGAATGGATCAGAGTCTTATATCTGTCTCCACTCAGAAATGTGACATATCTCCTGCTACTCTTGGTATATGCCATTATATTACATCCTTTTGTATTCATGGTGACACAAGGCAAGGCCCTTTGTTGTTTTTGCTACCACAGCTTCCCCTCTGGCGCATATATATATATATATATATATATATATATACTCATCTGGAATAAACTCAGTATTTCCACCTTGGATGCTCAAGTCCAGGCAGGGCAAGTAAGTTAATAAGTGCTTCAGTTTGATAGCAGGGGCTGACATGTGCTAAAGATTCATTGGGTGGTTTCTTACTTGGTTGCATTCACTTGAAGCAAAGCAACGAAAATGTGAACCTACAACCGGAAAGGAATAAGAGGAGCTTATTGACGGCTCTCAGAGATCTTGTTTCTTGCTGTTGTAGAAACCATTTCCATTTCCTATCACTGAACCAGCTCCACTAGCCTGTTGCTTCGTCCCCTCTGTGTTTTGGCAGGCCTGCTCTATACAAAACAACCCCCACTCTGAAATTGCAGAGAAAGAACTATTGGCAGTTTCCAACCAGCACTTGAAAAGGACACAAAAACAATTATTGGAGGTAAGGAGGAGCAATCAGGGTGGGAAACACAGTTAAAGCCACAGCCTTCTGTCACCTCACAAGAAAGCAGCTATTGTTTCTAGCCGCCTCCAGTCGGCTGGATGAGATTCAGTAACAATTGATTCAGTGACAAGTGAGAAAACCAGACGGCAGGTGTTTGTTTTCAAAATAGACTATCGGAGACCAAAACAGCTGATGGCACTGAGGAAGCTTGATCCTCAGGGACACAGGCTGAATGCTATTCCATTCTTCCTCTCCTCTCCCGTCGAATGTTGTTTTCATAGCCTGCTTTCTGTCTCTCTTCCAAGGGCTTAGGTGCAAAGCAAGACAAAAGGCAGCAAGCACACGAAACTGTCCGTGGTGTAGGCCAAAACCCTCTCATTACTGTCGGTAGAGCCAGCCCCCCCCCACCTCCCCTGGTGACTGGTGTGATCCAAACACATCTCCTCAAGTTTAAACAAGGCATTGCTTTATCTGAGGGTCTCAAGTAGGAAACGTTCAAAACACCCTCTTGTCAAAAGGATGAACAAGTTTCTCTCCTCTCTTTCACACCCTCTCGCAAATATCAGCCCTAAATTTAAGGCTGCCTGAGGCGATTACCAGTGCAACAACTCTGCTTTTCTTACATCTCCCCAGCAGGATGTGAAAGCAATTTCTTTTCTTTTTCTTTTTAATAACTTTCAAAAATAGAATATTTTCTCTCTTTGGGTGTTTAGTGAACAAATGCCCCAGGCATTAAGAGACAGGCCCTCCTCTGCTGAGGAGGATGTGAACATGAGGTAGGGAAGACAGAACCCAGCGCTTCACGCTCCATCCTGTGCCAGCTTCTGAACTCTCCTTCGTATTGAAGCTCAGCCACCTCACAAATCCATCAAGGGGCCTGGGATTTGAAAGGCAGGTAACTGCCTGCTCCCAGAAAAAGCAGAAAGCACCTTGGTGCGAGGACGGAGAGCGCAAGGTAAGCAGAAGCACAAAGCAGGCTAGCCGAAGGCGTCCCCCCTCTCCACCCTTTGCGCTACACGCTGCTTCCCCTCCAACAATTCTTGCGCTCCAGCTTTTCCAATCTGACAAGAAATCTATGATGCGGAAAAATCCACCGGCAAAGTGGTGCCTTTACGTGACCCAAAAGGTCCTCCTCTCCTCCAGCAAGCTGACTGATCTGTTCGTAAGGGCCTCGGGGCTGCCGGCCAGCTTGTAGCCGAAGAGTTTCATGGCCGGGCTGCAGACGTTCTGCACCACCTGGGCGAGCTTGAAAGGGATGCTGAAGCGCCACTTCTCAAACTGCTCAGAGGAGTTTTTCTGGGTGGAGTAGATGTCGTTGCTGTTGTGAGGTGCCTGGGTGTTCTTGCGGATCCACTCCTCTACCTGCGGGGTGATGGCGACGCCCGAGAATCGGTACATCTCCTTGGCCTTCTGGAGGGGTGACCTGGCAATGTCCTCGTAGCGGACCAGCATGTAGCGGCCGCGGAGCCAGGCTGGCTGCCTCAAGCCGAGCTCCGCCGAGAGCCGGATGCTCTCGCAATTCCCCCGCAGCCGCTGCACCTCGTCCTCGTTGAGGGTCGCCGTGCCTTCCGTGGCCCACTTCTTCCACGTCTCGTACTTCCCGGAAAAAGCGACTATGCGGGAAGCCAGCACTGCCCGGGGGTCCCTCACCAGCTGAATGATCCTCATGTCCAAGCGAGGGTCCTCAACGAGCGGGCGCAAGTACTCCAGCTGCCGGATCCGCACCACCTTCAGCGCCATGTGCTCCTTACGGCGGCAGGCCTCCATGGCCAGGGTCACGTTGAGGGGACCGCAGCGGCGGTTCTTGCAGTGGTACTTCTCAAAGACCTTCTTGACGAACGGTGTGCAGACGGGCTCCTCGCACAGGGAGCGGCTGGAGCCACGCCGGAACAGGAACTGGGTCAGGTGGTCCTCCGGGAACGGGATGATGAAGTTCTCCAAGATGTAGAGGTCGCAGAGGAAGAGCTGCTTCAAGACGTCCCGGTAGACAAGGGCTGAGCCCACAGCGTTGGCGCCTCCGGTCTCGAAGGACACGGTCCTTTCAATGTGCCACAGCGGCTCGAAGAGGTAGAAGATGTTGCCCTGTTGGTTGAAGAATTCCCCCACGAAGGAGGAGCCGGTGCGGGTGGTGGCCATGAGAAGAATGTGTCTCCGGGTTCCCTGAACAGGCGCTGGCAAAGTCCCCCCGAGCTGCAAAGTGACATTCTGAAGGCGGTTCCTGAGCTGGGAGAAAGCCGCATCCAGCTCGCTTAAGGACAGCAGGGAGCCATTCTCTGGCAGCACCGAGCCAGAGTCCGTGCTGTTGGCTTCCATCAAGGACTGCGGAGACTGCTTTAGTTTGTCGGACACCCTGTGAAGAAAGAGAACAAAAGTCACCCTAGCGAATAGCAGCAGCAATATTAAACATGCAATGTTTCAAAGGTTATTCCAGGCCTTAATAAATCAAGTATAGCCGCTGGTTCTCACCTACTTGCCAAAGGCCTGGGGTGGAGACGGCATTAGGCACCAAAATGTCTTGGGCTTGCCCGGGGTGAAGAAAAGTTTCATAGCAGGATGCTTACCTGCTAATTCTAATATTCTGACTGAACCCCTGATAAACCTTCTAAGGAATCCCTATATCCCCCAGAACACTATTTGCAAATCGGTGCCTCAGTTAGTCCAAAAGCATAGTCTGTGTGTATGTATCTCTTCGGCAAAGTCAACACAAGTGGCATGGACAAGTGGCAGCACAACCAGCCAGCCATTCACAGTTTGCCACCAGAGGCTGTTGCCCTGCCATTGTAACTTTCCATAAAGCCAGCCTGGGCAATAGTGATCTTCTGTTATAGGTTACCTGGTAGCAAAAGGGAGTGTTTGAGAATAGAAATGCTTGTCTATGTACCACAGTAGTTACCTACCATGCTTGTATAAGCACTCGGAAGTGTCAATTATTAGTGGTCTATGGAAAGTGTAATAACCACTGTCTGAGACGGCTTTCGACACAAGTAGGATGACCCAGAGGGTGGGGAGTGCCACAACTTTGCTTTGCATTGCATTTAGATGGCCCCAGGTTCCAGGTAGGGTTGGAGAGAGCCCTTTGTGAAACTCTACCAGTCCGTGTAGACAACGCTAATCTGGGTGAGCCCAGTGGCCTCACTCAGTATAAGGCAGTTTTCTATGTTTCTGTGTGGACTGGGATCCTATCTGTACTTTTAAAAGCTGTTCAGAAAGTAAACTTTTGCAGTTGCAGCTTGTCAAGCAAGAGGGAGAAAAGGTGCGCTTCGTGAAATTCCCTCTTGCCCCTTTCTAGGCGGATTCTGCTAGAAGGCTCTTCTTTTTATATATATATCAAATCAATTTGTATGAAACCAATTCCAACCATCCATTGCTGCCACCCATCCCTGTGTGGGGCATGATGTTTAAAAGAGCAACCTGCCTGCATTCCTGGGTAAAGAGGTAGCTTAATTCACACTGGGAGGCAAGAAATATTTACCTTGTTCCAAAAGGCCGGAGAGATGGTGGTAGCAAGTTGGGACCTGCAAATGTGGTAAGATATAGCTGCAGCCTGAAGGCTACGCTAGGGTACAGAGAAAGCCTCTCTTCCAGCACAGCTCTCCTTTCCCCCTCCTACCTTGAGATGATGTTGTTCTCCTTCTCAATAATGACAAGGGCTACCACAAAGACCAGGAGGATGGCGTATTTGCTCCTCATCCTCAGGCAATGCAGCAGCTCCCAGAAGTCTTGAGGTAACGGGTGCCCTTTATCCATGGAGAGAGAGAGTGTTACGTTCGATGACTTGCCAAAGAAGGGCCTTTCCCCTTTGAGGAGAAGGGGGTAAAGGGACCTTCTTCAAACTTCCCCATTGTTCTTCAGCTATCTGGAAAGCATCGTCTAGCGCTAGGATGCCCTGCAGAGAGAGAGAATGTGAGAGAAATTGCATGTCTCAATAAGTATACTGTGTGCTTAGGAGCATGTCTGAACTGCATGCAAAATTCATGCACTTTCAAATTGGTTCTATCTGGACTTAATGGGCATTAGACCGCTGTTCTTGGCTCTGCCGACAGAGGAGATTCGTCCAGATTGCTTCCAAAGGATGTGAGTCACCAAGGTCCCTGCCCACCTTCAGGGGGAAACAGGGTAGCCGCAAGAAGGTTGGGGCTGTGCTGTTGCCTCCTGGAGGTACGCACCACCCTCCCATGTCAGTGGGGGACCTATCTCCCTGGTGGCTGTGTCACCTGGCCTCTCCCCTCCCCCTAAAGCTCCTGGCTCACACCTACATTCGCTTGGCTTCATCCTGCCCCTTGCGCCTTTCCTGTCTTAAATTTGGGGTCTCTGCCAATTTCCGTCTCATGATTCCAACTAGGGTGGTAGGACAGCATCCTAGCATGGCTCCTCCATCCCTCGGCACAACCCAAGCAAAGACCCTGAGCTCCTCCAAGGTGGCACTTCATGATGGAGAGTGTGCACAGGATTTGTGAAACTTCCCTTTGCCTCAAGTGATCAGCAGAGAAAGAAGCAGGTGCTTCCACATGGGGTGTTTATTATGGGAGCGGCAAGTGGGGGTTGTTGTTGTTTTTGCAGGATCTGCATGATGTATTTTCCCCTCCCCACCCCCAATTCAATCTTCATATTTGCTTTCCAGGACAGCTCCAACCCGTTAAAAAAAAAAAAAAGCCTATTGCCAACTATCCATTTGCAATATTCTCAGTGACCAGATTGCATATTAAAAAGCCATCTGGAAGCACCCACAGTTGTCTGAGCTTTCCTTCCCGAGATTCCGTGCCAAGCAATGTGATCCAGTTCTGGCTGGCACCATTGCAAACTGTAAATGGGGGGACTGCATATCTGAACACTCTCTCTCTTTCCCTCTCTTTCTCTGTGTGTATTATATGTATGCATTTTAAAATATTGCATATCAAGAAGAGAACTTCTAGCCTATCCTGACTTTTCTCCCGACACCCTTTCTTTCTTTTCTTTTTCTTTCTTTCTTTCTTTCTTTCTACTGGGAGTGGCCGCCGGGACCACATAACACCGGTCCTGAGAGATCTGCATTGGATCCCAGTACGTTTCCAAGCACAATTCAAAGTGCTGGTGTTGACCTTTAACGCCCTAAACAGCCTCGGTCCTGTATACCTGAAGGAGGGTCTCCACCCCCATTGTTCAGCCCGGACACTGAGATCCAGCACTGAGGGCCTTCTGGTGGTTCCCTCATTGGGAGAAGTGAGGTTATAGGGAACCATACAGAGGGCCTTCTCGGTAGTGGCGCCTGCCCTGTGGAACGCCCTCCCTTCAGATGTGAAGGAAATAAGCAGCTATCTTATCTTTAAAAGACATTTGAAGGCAGCCCTGTTTAGGGAAGTTTTTAATACAGTGGTGCCCCGCAAGACGAATGCCTTGCAAGACGGAAAACCCGCAAGACGAAAGGGTTTTCTGTTTGCGAGTTGCTTCGCAAGACAAATTTCCCTATGGGCTTGCTTCGCAAGAAGAAAGCCCATAGGGAAATCTCCGGGGACCTCTTTTAAATGCTGGCGGTGGGGAGCAAAGCCTTTCCCCCCCTCCGGCCTTCAGAAGAGGTCCAGGAAGGCCGGCGGGGGCCGAAAGGCTTTCCTCCCCACCGCCAGCATTTTAAAAGCAGTCCGGGATAGCAGGGAAGCGCTTCCCGCTATCCCGGACGGCTTTTGAAGGCAGGCGGGGGGAGCAAAGACTTTTGCCCCCCGCCGGCCTTCAGAAGAGGTCCTGGACCTCTTCTGAAGGCCGGCGGGGGGCAAGTCTTTGCTCCCCCCTGCCTGCCTTCCTGGGAGAGTGGAGAAACGCAGCGCGTTTCTCCGCTGTCCCGGACGGCTTTTGAAGGCAGGCGGGGGGGGGGGAGCAAAGACTTTCGCCCCCCGCCGGCCTTCAGAAGAGGTCCAGGACCTCTTCTGAAGGCTGGCGGGGGGCGAAAGTCTTTGTCCCCCCTGCCTGCCTTCCCGGGGGCTTTTAAATTGCCCCGGGACAGCGGAGAAGTCCTCCGCTGTCCCGGGGTTTTTAAAAATGCTGGCGGGCGGCAGCGAACGCTTCGCTGCCGCCCGCCAGCATTTTAAGATCGCCCGGACAGCGGAGAAGTCCTCCGCTGTCCCGGGGCGATTTAAAAGCCCCCGGGAAGGCAGGCAGGGGGGACAAAGACTTTCGCCCCCCGCCAGCCTTCAGAAGAGGTCCTGGAGGGGGGACCTGGTCTGAAGGCGGTTTCCATAGGGACGCATTGATTGATTTTCAATGCATTCCTATGGGAAACCGTGCTTCGCAAGACGAAAAACTCGCAAGAAGAAAAAACTTGCGGAACGAATTAATTTCGTCTTGCGAGGCTCCACTGTATTTAATGCTGTATTGTTTTTAACACTCGATTGGAAGCTGCCCAGAGTGGCTGGGGAAACTCAGCCAGATGGGCGGGGCATAAATAATAAATTATTATTATTATTATTATTATTATTATTATTATTATTATTATTATTATTTATTTTCTTTCTTTCTTTCTTTCTTTCTTTCTTTCTTTCTTTCTTTCTTTCTTTCTGAGCAGGGGTGCTTTTGTGGGGTGGGCAGGAGGGCACAGGGGGAGTATTCCAACATATGACCTTAAAAGCTGCAACCAGGTTCTGCTGATTGTGTAGCTTGGCCCCTCTGCCTCTACTGCCTTTTTGAGGACTGCCAGTCTCATTATTTCCCCCCAAACATTCACCCCTCCACCTTCTCACCATGTCTGAGCTATTTAATGCTTGGGTGCTATGTGGCAGTTTGCAATGTAAGTTAATCTTAATGTGTACCGGCCATCTTTCTCCAAGCAGGAAGACAAAGGTGCATAGTTTAAAGGCACGAGGAAAGGTATATATCAGGTTCCTAGGCAATTAATCCTAAATATTTTCCTAGGAAGCAAGGCTGGCCCTCGCCCTGGAGCTTTCAGCGCTGGGAAAGGGCTAGAGTGACAGCAGCAGTAGAAGTGAAAGTCCCACCTGTTGCTCAACAGAAATTGATTATTTATTCATCATATCGGCTACCTGCATTCATGGCCCATGGGCACCCAAAGAGAGATACTCTAATTACAAAAGCATAAAGCACTGGGCGACAATGAAATACGATTAAAAAAAAAATCCAATAAAAGCAAGTTCAACCGTCACATAATAAACAACAGTAAAAAAAGAGAAAGCAGCAAGCCTGACAGCTAATTTCTTGTATAAAACTAGCCTCCAGATAGCATCATCCATCAACCACCAGCAAAAGTTTAAAAAAAATCCCAAAAACCTTTCACAAAAATGTATTTTCTTGCCAGTGGAATGCAGCAGGGAAGGGAGCTAGGTTAAGGCTCTATTTCAGAAGCATTTCTCAAGGTGTGGGTGCTTGCTCCTCACTCTTAGCGAAGGACAAAGTTTCTCCCCCAGATAATAGGGGCAGGAAGGAAATAGTCATCTATGCCATAGATTCTATGAACCTCCTTTTTAAGAATGGCATCTCTGCCAATGGGAGTTTTGAAACAGCTCAGCAGGTGCATAAAAAGAAAGAAAGAAAGAAAGAAAGAAAGAAAGAAAAGAAAGAAAGAAAGAAAGAAAGAAACTTTATCCACATAAGATTCTCCATACACATTTTTGGATTATCCTTGTAACGAAGTATAAATATTCTGCATTATTTCTTAATGTAACTAAATAAAATTATATTGAAGTTAATGGAGTGGTGAAACCAAACCAAACAGGCAAAGCAGATTTTCACCCAGTTCATTTCACGCCTTTAAGGCAAGCTTTTAAAAAGCAGCAAAGGTAAATAAAGAATGTGCTGGAGAGGGAGAGTTCGCATACATTGCTGAAGGTATTGCAGATACTACCCAATGGGTACCCGAAGTACTGTGCACTGCTGTTGGGAGATAGTTCTAGCTTTTCCTTCAGCACAGCTTGGAACTCTATAGGAAACTTGCAAACCTGGCTTGATCAGAGAACTTGGCGTGCCACAAAATCTGGACATTTTGTATCACAGGCAACGACAGTTCTAAAATAATCGTATTTGTAAATTTATTGTCTTTACTCAGCTAACAGTGGAACTAGACTCTTATCTTGGATACTGTGTGTTCTCTGCATTTGCTGAGAGAAAAAATGTATGGGCAGAAGGACTGACAGGGAAGGATGGCTGCGAAACCTACCCTTCCTGCCTATCCTGTGCCCATCAATTGTCCTTGCAAATGCAGGGGGTTAACTTTCCATTTTAGACCATCACCGTGAGAAAAAACAACAATTCTCTAGGGGAAGGTTTTTTTGGGAGCGGGAGAGAAAAACATTTGGGGACTGTGTTTCCCTCATATCATGCAGCCCCACCCTAAGACCAGGGGTCGGCAAGGTTTACCGCCTGGGCCGGTCCACTCCCGTGGAGATTGCTTTGTGGGCCGGATCACATCTGCGCAGACGCGATTTCTGGCACCATGAAAGCCAGAAATTCTCTTTGTGGAGAGAATCAGAACTTACAGGGTTAAGAAGTTCTGAGTGACGTCTCACATTCTGAGGCGTGGTTTAGTACACAGAAGGGAGTGTTCCTGTGTCTCACTGTTGGTTCCGTCCGCAACGGAGAGAGAAGCAAAGATGTGTGCTCTGTCTCCAGGAAAGATTTAAGAGCTGTTTTTCTACACGAATAAAGACCAGAAACAGATAAGAAGGAACGCTTGCGTGAAGCCTGATTTATCATACACACACGCACAGCAACAGTCTCACGCTGCATGCACTCTGCTACAGTAGCTGACCGGAGAGCTGAGGGAAGCGCGTGGGCTCCAAATATTCAGCTACGTAAATATCCGAATAAGTCACCGCTCCAAGCTGCACCAGTTTAGTGCAGCGCGCGGGGACTCGCCAAGTGGTCGGCTCATGGGCCCTTTAAACGACCCCCGTGGGCTGCTTGTGGCCCATGGGCCACAGGCTGCCGACCCCTACTAAGATAAATCAGTGGGAGAGAGATGGGACTCCCATTAATTAAAGTGGACACTTCGCATCTTGCTGCACAGGCCTGGGAATTGTACGGCACTCTGGTATCTCCCCCATGTGCTGCCTCAAACCATCAAGGAAACATCTGGGGCTCTCGGCATATGGAAACCCTGCTTCTACATCAAGGGCTTGAAGGCTGCTCTGTTTTGCTGCGTGAACAAGGCTCCAGCTCGGCAGAGAGAGCAATAAAAAGAAAGCAGGGGGCCTCCTCTCCCTTGCAACCTCCATCCTCAGCTGCTGAGAGCATCCATCAACCTCTGCCCCCTTAACATCTCTCCATTCCCAAAAATAAATCTTCCCCAAAGACCCCTTGCTGCACTTCCCCTCTGGCACCAGGCCCTCCTGGCTTTTCAGACTCTTGCGCTCCAAGCTCTAAAAGGCAACTGTCTATACTCTGCGCAAGCAGAACTCGCTGGTGCCACCAACTGTTTATTTGCAGAAGCCCAGAGGCTTCTCTCTGATCTGCAAAAGGGGAGGTGGGGGCCTCGAACCTGGAAAGGGAATCCCACTGAGGGCAGGAACCACCTCCGACTCCTTAAGAAGGGGCTGAATGAAACACACGGCACCGGGCCCACTCTCTGCCTATTCGGGGAAAGAGCTGGGTATCTTTGTACTTCTTCCTCCACTGTGGAATTGGAAACACCAGCCCAGTACGATCCATCCTCTAGAATGCCCTGCTAAGTGAGGAGGGCCAGTCTTAAATAAATAAACAGTAACTCTCTGGTAGCAAAGAGGTCATAAAAACCGACCCTTGTTGTGGGCAAGCACTGGTTAAGCGTGCCAATGCTCTGATGTGCACACTAACTTGGTGTGAGCAGCTATGGTTTCAGAATTCCAGCATTTGCTCGCAAATCCAGGTGTTAGCTCAGTAGGGATATGCCAGGGATTGGTTGGATGCAGAGGAATAGTGGGAAGAACCCGCTGGGGAACCACCAAGGGAAGAAGGCTCAGAGCCTGGGGATTGGGGGTGGGACAACGATGGTGAGTGGTCAGAGGGAGAAGACAGGGAAGAGGAGGTGGCAGAAGCTGAGAGCACAGAGAGTTGGGAGAGTCTGTGGAAGAAAAAGTCAGGAGTCGGAGGTAGAAGCTGAAGCAGGAGGGTGGGAGGAGGGAGGCCAAGAGGCAGAGATGAGTCAGGCTAGTGAAAAGCAACAGGTGTCTCTCCCTTCCCAGAACCAGGAGAGGGCTGAAATGGGTGGGGGAAAGACAGGCACGCAGGCAGGCACAGTCTCCAGTTGCTTGGAAGAAGCCCTGGAGAGGGGAGGACTTACAAGGGTTTGGGGAGGCAGGGGCTTTTAGACTCAGCAACTGATTTCATGGAGTCGGACCTACCTGCTGCTGTGCTCATTAGGCCTGAAATCCAGCCAAGTCTGTGAAGATCATGTTTCTGTAATAACAAGCTTTGAACTTGAGTAATTTACTGACCGGTTTTGCTCTGGGACAGGATATTTGGGGCAGCTGGAAAAAAATGTCATAATCAAATGCTGCCATTTCTTTTAACAGTTGCGCAAATGAAACCACCTACAGATTATTCCTGGCAGGAGCTTGCGTATGTGTAGGAAATTAAATATATTTAAAGCTAGGCATAAACTCTAATAATGTGGCCTATATATCACCAGTAAGATAAAAATTCAATGGAATCCCAGTAAGATTTTTGTTTTCAAACCCAGCTAAAAGGCAGCCAGTAGGAACGGTCGCTGCTTTCCAATTGTCCATCAATCTATCATAAACAAGAACCACCTAACAACTGAGCCTATTGCCATGGGATAGTTTATCTAGCTGCCAAAATCTGCCTGCCAAGGCCTTAAATGACCAGTCTGTCCTTATCGGTAGTGAAGCGAAACGACCCCTTTATTGCTTACACAAAGGTTTCACAATATTTCAGTGTTTCAGAGTGAGGGGCAGAGCCATTCTGTAAATATTTGGATCCCAGAACAGGTGTCTCAGGCTGGAGAAACACAATCCCACCCACCCACCCTGAGAGCGGAAGAGATGGTGCCAACACCATGTATTCTCACCCTATTTTTGTCCCTGTGCAGAAGCTGCTTGACAGGAGGTGATGGCCCAGCAAGAGAAATGTGTGTGGAGACCAGAGGAACCAACGCATCACAAAACACTTCCACCTCTCTTAAAACTATTGCCTGCCTCCAGCCTCAGGGTACGTACTGACTGTTGTAAATGATGTTGTGTGTGACAGGAATCCAACTGCAAACAGATTATTAGAACCCTTTCTTTAACATGCACATAATCCAAGTTTCCTCCAGGGGTCCATGAACCTTCATCCTGCTTTTTCACGAAACTTTGGCACGGGTTGCTTTTTACTAATGAACCCCTCCCCCTTTCCAAAATACATTTGGCCTGCCTTTGGGTTTTGGTACAGAATCACATGACTATAATTGAAACCCATGCACTTCTAGCCAGGAACCCAAGCAATAAATAGATTCTTTATTCTTTACTTTTTACATTTTAAACCAATATTTATACATAAAAGTCTCGGGAAGCGGTATATTTCGTCCCAGAAAGTGGAGGGCATGCTCAGGCCAGATGTGCTATGCTTATGGATACCATATGTTTAAAGATGACAAAAAAATATGTTCTGGAGGTTATGCTGCTTGAGTTATAAAGTGGTATCTTCTGCAGCAGTTATAAAGTAGTATCTCTGAAGTGGCATATGAATAAGAGTAAGGCAATGTCCTACAACATAGCAGTGGCTGGAGGGGGCTGGGACTCTAATTACAGTGGTACCTCGGTTTACATATGCTTCAGGTTACATACGCTTCAGGTTGCAGACTCCGCTAACCCAGAAATATTACCTTGGGTTAAGAACTTTGCTTCAGGATGAGAACAGAAATCGTGCAGCGGTGGCACAGCGGCAGCAGGAGGCCCCATTAGCTAAAGTGGTGCTTCAGGTTAAGAACAGACCTCCAGAACGAATTAAGTTATTAACTCGAGGTACCACTGTAATCATCATTTTAGGTAGGGTAGGAAATAGAGGCATGTACTGTTCAAGCCCTGCAAATAACATTCAGTCTTTGGATTCGCCAGGCCTGGTACAATGACCGACAGCCTCCCTTTTTGACCTTGATTGTAACTATCATCTGCTTCCTGCACTTGAAACCCCAAGCCTAACCCTAGCCCCCAAACTCCATCTCAGAGCTAAACTAAACATTACATTAAATACATTATTTGAAAGTGCACTTAAGATTTTCCACTTCTCTTTCTTAGCAGAAAGCCTGTGTGTGTGTGTGTGTGTGTGTGTGTGTGTGTGTGTCTCCCTGTGCTGATACAGATAAGGATCATAGCACTGGGGCAGGGGAGGAGAACACACTTCCCTCACATCTCCCCACCCTCAGGTGATATTTGCTCAAGTGCAAATAGCAGCTGCAAGGGGCATTTTCCATCGGAAAACAGTAAAGCGGAAAGTGGTTACTCCTCTCCCCATCCTACGTGACAACACAATCCCAATCAGGACTGCCCTCTGCCCACCATGGCTGCTGCTGCTGGCGAGTTCTAACTCCATTTATAAACAGTGTGCTTAACAAAAGAATATGGAGTTTGACTGCGAGGTCCGCCAGCCCTAGGCCCGAAAACGGCTGTCACAGGTGTGGATTCAATCATGGCAGCCGTGACACAGTGAGAAACAAGCAGCCACTTCAGTCTCCAAAGGGGAAACAGCTACTCTTGAGCACTCAGCTAACAGACAGGCGTTGCTTTGTGGAGACGCCATTTCCTTCTGTTATTTGAACACAGAAAACAATAACAAAACGTCCCGTGTGTCCCCCGCATGTCCTCTTTTTTTGGCAGGTAAAGGAAGATAGAACTCGAGATTAGAGGCCTTCTCACAACTTTCAGTTATTCTGCCAATTCAGGGTTTGGGAGGGGGATATTACTTGTGTCATACAGACACACAGGCTGCAATTATTTGATCCCACGAGGCTTACTTTCGAGTAAATACACATAGGATCCAGATGTCTCTTTTCACAAAATTAAGACTGAGAAATCAGGAGAGAAGACTGCTGAATGTGTTCTCAGCTTCTCTTGTAAAACACAGGGCTGAGTGTTGCGCTTCCAACCTGCACTATTGGCTCAGATATGTTATTGCCATAAAAATAGTAATTTGCCAAGTAACCGAGTCTGGAGGCTTATGTTTCTCATTTAAGACTCAGAACTGTGTGCTCTGTGTTGCTTTTAACTCCCAGCTGTCTGCTTCTTACCCTGGAAAAATATGGATAAAATTTTCTAGTTCTAAATACGCACCCACCCACCCAATGTTCTGCTTCTAACAATGCAATCGTCCACACCTTTCTATTCAGAAGCAATTTCGACTGAGTTCAGTGGGACTAACTCCCAGGTAAACAAGTACAGGGTTCTAGTCCCATTCCATTTTTTAATTTGTATACCACCTTTCAATGTGGTTTTGCAGCCTCAGTGTTTTTTAAGACCGGTATCAAAATACCCAGAGACAACAATGAACGTACTGTTAATTCTGGCTTCCGAGGGACAACTGGTGAGCAGATTTCTGTCGCCAACAAACCCCAGCCAGTGTAAGGAAATGTGTTTAATTTATTTATGAGAAGACTTCTACCCTGCTTTTCGCCCATAAAAAGAGACCCAAGGCAGCCTAACAGAATCAAAATTAAAGGAAGTCAATAAAAATCAATGCAGAATTAACGAAAACATAGAAATACCACAGATATACATAACCCCATCCTCCATAAAGGCATAATTTACCAGCAGCCAGACTATCCAGTCCCCCCCAAAAAACAGCACCTTTATGGTGGTTAACTAAAAGTGGACAGATTGGAAAACAGTGCAGGTCACACGTGCAAAATGGGAGTTGCCTGTCTTTCAGAATACCCAGTATAAAGTCTATGCATGTCCTCACAGCTGCTTCACACAGCGGTCACGTTTGTCATGGCTTCTCTGGTGCCACATCAATATTCTCTAAAACAGCATCATAAAATGCAAGGGGCAGGTGCATGTGAACATGTGCTAGACACAACCACTCAGACTCCCTGCCATGTGTTTAAGACCACCATTCACATTTTATGCATTTGCTGTGGGTAACACAAATGTAGCTGAAAAACAACAATGCTGCTATGTGAAGTATGAAGTTGAGTGTCAGTATGGGCTGGATGAGGATACGATACAATAAGGAATAATGAACGAGACGCCCATGGGTAAATTAACGTGGAAAACAATTGTCTTCCATATGGACAGTCAAGAACCAGTGTCATGAGGCTGAAATGAGGGCAAAATCCAGGTGAAGCAGCTGGCAGCTCATGGTAAGCTGAATATTAATTTAACTTGGGGCCTGTAGAGAAGGGTTAAAGAATAAAGTCAAAACAAACCAGCAAAATATATATATACAAAAAATATATATCTATAGTCTTGCCAGAATACTTCTAATTGAGGATGAATTCCAAACCTAGGTCTGTTACAGATCACTAACTTTTTCTTGTGCTAGCTACCTCCCAAAAGCAACTTTAGCTTGGTGCTTGCACTGGGAGCCGGATGAAGAGTTTGCTCATCACAAAGCTTTAAGAAATCCGGATCGTTTGAAGCCGTCCTTACTCCTCCGTCTGTACGTGCCCTTTCAGTTCAGAACTGTTGCTCTGAGCCAGACTTTTATAGTAAGCAGGCTCGTTGACCTCTGTCTCACCACAGGCTTCCTCTTAAAAGTCATATTTCTGTTTATGAGCTTTTCTAAGGACTGTTAAAAGCCTACGGTGGCTCACAAAGCAATATGGTCTGCAGTTTTCATTTGAGACTTTGCTTAAGGATGCTCTTCAGAATCGCTTTCATCTCAGCAGGGTGGGAAACATCATGGGGCAAGCAACCAGGAGCAGACTTTTCATTGTGTTGCAGGCCATTCGAGTGTAATATTTAAATAGTATATAGCTCACAGAAAAGCAAGCTGCTGATGACAGATTTACTTATTTTTGGATTATTAAAAAGATTGGTTCTATTTGCACCATGCTGGTACTTTAATTATTTGATTTCTGGACTGTGCAAAATCCACTCTCTCGAACAAGGTTTCCCAAACTGGGGTCTCCAGCTGTTTTTTGGACTACAACTCCCATCATCCATAGCTAGCAGTAGTGGCCAGGGATGATGGGAATTGTAGTCCAAAAACAGTTGGAGACCCAAGTTTGGGAAACCCTCCTCTAGAACAATGTCTGTCAAACAGTGGGACAGGACTCACCAGTGGGCCCACTTTCAGGCAAGCCTTAGTGCAACAGCCTGCTCTGTCCCTCGTCACTTGCTTAACCCCTTGCCTGCCGTCGCCATAAGCCTTTCAGCTGGACCAATGCCAGAACCAGCAACTTCTTGCATGTTGAGTAAAGATGGCCAGGAGACAGAAGGGCTTTGGGGATGAGGAGGGAGGAAGCTTCTTCTGAGGGGAAAGGGCCCAAGAAGGCGTTGAAGGAAATTAGAAATGGAATAAGAAGCTAAAATAATATAAACAAATTTTTTAATATATATTTATTAGAAACAAGCAAGCAAAGTGGGAAGAAAGAGGAAGGGGATAAGAGAGGGAAGCTGTTAAAGGAAGAAGAAACAGATGTAAAAGGGCCAGGGTGGAAAGAAATTAGTGGGGGTTCAGAACAGGGGTGGGGGAGAAAGAGAGAGCGAGAAAGGCACAAATTGAGTGTGAAAGGCAAATGGGAGAAGAAATTACAGGAAACGGATAAAAATACTTTGGGATGCACACCAGGGCGGGAAGGGGAAAATATAAAAGAACAAGCCTTCTGTATGTTGAGGCTCAACCCTCTGGGCCAGCAAATTCTGCCTAAAATGGGGGTGGGGCAGCTGTCACAAAACCTCCGGAGCTAATGTTTGTATTTAGCTTGAGGAAAGTGACGTGGCAAAGAAGCTAGCAATTTCCAAGGCGGGTTAGATAAAAACTGATTACCAGTAATTGCCAGCTGATTATGCCAAGCTCTGCCCCCAGTCTCCAATGGGCCATGGGGGTAATGAGATTGAAAACCCCTGGTCCAGATGATACAGCCCAAGGAATTCTTGTGCATGGGAATCCAAATGGCACATCCATGGCACTAAAACGAACGACTTGCTCTCTTTGAACCTCATCCTACCTAGCAGTAAGGTCACCTCAAATAATATCCCAGGGGCTCCCCACTCCCTTCCAGAAACCCTCTTTATTTCATAACAAAACAATACAAAAAAAATGTACCCAGTCAGCTACCTTCCCCTGTAATACACAGGCTGCACTCTTTTTCTAATCTCATTTCAGAATTCTAAAACTGTGTCCTGGCATCAGAATCCTGAACTTTCCAGAATCCAGAATCTGTGAACTTTTAAAGCTAAACATAAATAGTGCTACAAGGCTGGAAACGAAGTGGGAGAATATGTGTGATTCATGCTCCCTCTCGCCATGTCCCCATGTCTTATTCAAAGCCTGGAGGTGCACTTCCAGGGGAATAAGTCTGCACACTTTACACAAGATGCAAAAGCACTCAAACCTCTGCTCACTTGATATCTGCAGTTGTCCTATGTCAGATGGTGGTGGCATTTCCAAATACAACTAAAGGAGCAAAACTACTCAAGAGCTCAAAGGCTTCTGTTGTGGAGAATGGAAAGCACTTTCATTGTGAAGAAGCACCGTTGGGGAAGTTGTTCTTCAGTAACTTTACTTCTGCTCAACCTAAATTCTAAATTCCATGTTTAATATCTGCTTTAGGAATCCCCCCTCACTGCACCAATAAAAGCCAATAGGTATATTACATTCAGAACATCATTTCATCATCAGCATACACTCAAATGATTGCTCTGAAGTGGTACAGCCAATTATGGATTATTGCTTCTTTACTGTCTGATTCTTACTCATTACATCATGGGAACATGAGCCAGAGGAATCCTGCCAGACGTTGCATCAGACAAGATTCTTAACCTCAGACTGAAAGTCCACACAAAACAAAACATATTTTAGTATTGTACTTAAGCTTCCTACATCCTTTCTCGGAAGAGGAAACAGCCCATTGATGCAAACAAATAATACAGAGTAAGATGATGTTTCAGGACAAGGAAGATGGACACAAATATCTATTTAATTGGATTAGCTCCAATTTGGCCAGGACTGGGAACCTGTGGCCCTGCAGATGTTGGATTCCAATTCCCATCAGATCCTGAGAGCATGCCCAATTGGCAGGGACAATAGGAGATGCAGTCCAGCAACATCTGGAGAGCTGCAGGTTCTTCATTCCTGAATCAGGTCATTTAGGGTTGCCATATTTCGTCAATCAAAAATATTTTGATATTATTATTTTTTAAAAAGCATTATTAGTGGATACCCTACAGGACCTGAACCATGTGTACTTTCCCCTTTTGCAACTTTTTTTTCTTTAACTTAGCTTACAGGGTTGCTGGGTGAAACAAATGAGAGTCATGGACCTGTGCAACACCTCTATTTTTCCCATGTTAATCAGACAGCACATTTTTTAAAAAATCAATACATGGTGAATTAATAACCATTTTGAAAACTCATGGAAGGAAAGCACCTATTCAGGACACACACAGGAAGACATGCTTCTTAAAGGATGGTGTCTGCCTCCTGTAACTTATGGAGCATCCTCTAAAAACAAGGATTTTGATGTTGTTGTTTCACATATCAGCCACTCCATCGTGTGACACAGTTGCTGGGAAACAGAGACAAACATTTGGGCTGTGCTTGACTTCCTCTACTGCTTGTGTGCTTGAACTGATGGGGGTTTTATGATGGCAGCATGATTAGAAATAGAGAATGAATTACTTCATTGCACTTAGTCATGGGTTTCCATCCCAGAATAAAGGATGCCGTGATCACCTCTTACGATCTCTTCCTACCATCACTTCTTGCCTCTCTTTTGATATGGCATAGTCCTCACATAGGGGACTGTACTACTTGAATGGCACAAGGGGAGCTGTTTGCACGAAACACTGGCAAACTTACGTTAGTGAGCTTGCTAGTTTTTAAATGGCTCTCTAACATTTTGTTAAACAGAAGTGGCAACTGTACTGCACAAATAGTAATCTGGGAGAAGAGGAATAACAGTACCGGCCTACAGAGTCATGGAGTCATTTGGTATATTCTATTTCAGAGTTGTTCGGAGTGCAGCAGATTTACGTGGCACGGCTTCATCAAAGGCTATGCCATGCAGCTATTACAGCAGCGCTAGTGGCGATGCTCAGAACAGGTGGTCACGTTGCTTGGGCACCTGCGATGACAGAAGGCCTTTCAGTTTGAGGACACTGCTGCTGCTTTTCTTTTTTGAAAGGAGGAGAAAGGGCTGAAGAAAGTCTGAATGAGGCATAGTTGCTATTGTTGACAAAGCTAAACAACAAATACCTTCTAAGGAACCATCAGCTTCTCTTGCTTGCTCTCTTCCTGGTCCTGGGGTCCACACCCTCCCCAACCTCATCAGGAATCCAGGTGTGCTAACATAGCAAACGGGAAGGGAGCGTTGACAACAGGACCAAGCAGGGAACAGGCTGGAGAAGCAGCTGCTGGCTAATATTTTGCTGCACAGGAAGAGTTAAAGGTCACTTGTTTTTTATTCTGTCATCTTTCTTGTTGGTAACAGTGTGGTCCTACCTATTTGCTTCAAGATTTCAGAGGTTCACGCACTGCCTCAAAAACCTGCCCCACCTATTTGACCAGAGGCAAGAAATATGTTTGTACAGTGGTACTTCAGGTTAAGTATTGAATTCGTTCCAGAGGTCCGTACTTAACCTGAAACTGTTCTTAACCTGAAGCACCACTTTAGTTAATGGGGCCTCCCACTGCCGCTGCGCCGCCAGAGCCCGATTTCCGTTCTCATCCTGAAGCAAAGTTCTTAACCTGAAGCACTATTTCTGGGTTAGCGGAGTCTTTAACCTGAAGCGTATGTAACCTGAAGCGTATGTAACCTGAGGTACCACTGTACTCATTTCCATGGGAAACAAAACCTCTCTCAAACCACTTTCAGCTCTCATAAAACTACTGTCTGCCTTAAAGTCTTTCTTTCTGATGGCAACAGCTGCCATGGACTATTGTGGCTATTAACATTTTTCAGGGCAGTAGAGATTCTGTATTCTTAACAGCACAGTCTTTTCAAGACATGCATAAAATGGGAATTTGCTGTTTTTAGAAGGCTTGTGCTACCCTCTTCCTTTACTGAAGTCAGTAGATCTTCTCTTCTCGAATGAATTTAATAGGCCACCCGCTACTAAATGTCACAAAGAGGAAATAACGTTTACACTACGGTGAACAAAACTTAAATTCAAGGGTTTTCTACCCTTGTAACTCTCCCTGGCAGGGGAACAAGGGAGGTGGAGAGGCTGCTGCATATGGCAAACTACCGGCTATTTGTTATACAAACGTATAATCAAATGCCAAATTTGCCAAACAAAAACAAAAAAACCCCACACACCTGTTTTCCCTGAAGTCATCTTCCCCCATTTAGGCCCAAAATACATGGTTTTGTTTTGTTTTGTTTTATAAAAAGCATGCTTAAACTGGCTACTGAAGAAAGAAGTGCTGTTTACACCTCACTTAAGATTGAGTTTTGCTAACATGAGATTGCCTTTGGTTAACAAGCACCCAAACCCAAGCTCAGACACTGCTGGGGGTTTTTTTGTAGGAAGGGGGGAAGGGATTATATGTACAAATATATGCAGCTATATGTATAAAAGAGTCAAGAGCCATGTTGTACTATATTTCTGTTCACACAATTTCATAAGAATATTTCTATACTGTATACCTATTTTATAGGTAAAGGTAAAGGTACCCCTGCCCGTATGGGCCAGTCTTGACAGACTCTGGGGTTGTGAGCCCATCTCACTCAAGAGGCCAGGGGCCAGCGCTGTCCGGAGACACTTCCGGGTCACGTGGCCAGCGTGGCGAGCCAGAGCCGCACACGGAAACGCCGTTTACCTTCCCGCTAGTAAGCGGTCCCTATTTATCTACTTGCACCCGAGAGTGCTTTCGAACTGCTAGGTTGGCAGGCGCTGGGACCAAGCAATGGGAGCGCACCCCGCCGCGGGGATTCGAACCGCCGACCATGCGATCGGCAAGTCCTAGGCGCTGAGGTTTTACCCACAGCGCCACCCGCGTCCCGCCTATTTTATAGTTATAAACAAAGCTGTAAGCATGTTCTGGATAATTTGGGAAATTTGGAATGAAACTGTGTTATGCATATAATATACAAGAATTGTTCACATCTTTAGCAAAATTGGGGAAAATCCTTATTTCTTGTCAAGGCAAAGGGTCGAAGCAGGAATTAAAGAAATCCATGTGAATTTCTTGAATTTTCAAAAAATTCCATCTCTACTGCAATCCAATATATTAGACACACACATTCTTTATTAAGGTCCAAAGACCCACAAGAAACAGTTTCAAAGCAAGATGCAGCAGAAATACAGGGTAAAGATTATAAGGCAGTCACTAAGTTTTATCTGGAGCATGTTGGTTTCTAGGTCTTATTACCTCTGAGACAAACTTAGCCACGGCCAGGGTATTATCCTCTGACTTATCTTCAAGAAGATACTTGAGACAGAAGGTTTCAGATTTCGCCAGTAAGTTTACCAATAAGGGTTTGATTAATTTATCCCTGGCTTGTTTATACTGGCAACGGTGTAGTAAGATATGCTTCATACAGTCCACATCCTGAGAAAGTAAACAGAGCCTATACTGATAGGGTATTCTGGCCAGTCTGCCATTTAGTACTTCAGATGAAAATACATTTAATCTGGCTTTGGTAAACGGTCAACAATAGTTAGGTACTGAAAGATTCGTAAGATATGAAGGTAACTGAAAATCATGTCCATATTGAATCCCAGTTGCAAATGGTCCACAGGTTACATAAGATCGAGATCGAAGATCGCTCTATGAAATGTCATTTAACCTCTGCTTCAGGGATTTAAGGGCAGTATCATAACCCAGATGATATAAAAAGGATGGTGAAAGTCCAATCGAGGAGGCTTTTGGGGCCATAGTTTTTGACCAGGAGCTGATAGACTCCTTGTTGGTTAAATGTACAAGTAATCCCTTCCCCAGGCCAAATACTGAAATCTTTAGCCAATATTTCAAGGCAGCCCATCACGCTTTGGTGAAAAGCCGACATTCACCTGTTTCCAGAAATAGAATTGAATTAGGAACACAATTTGTAACCTGAAGTAGGGACCGAAGGAATTTTGCCTGGAACCCATCTAACTTAGGAAATAGACCATTTGAAGAATAAAGGAGTTAGGGGAAACGATTTTGCATATATTACAGAAGTTTGATTTCAAAGGGACAGAGGAAACATTTGTACAGTTGTACCTCGGCTCCCAAATGCCTTGGGAGTCGAATGTTCTGGCTCCCGAACAATCAAAAACCGGAAGTGAGTGTTCCAGTTTTCGAATGTTCTTTTGGAAGCTGAACATCTGACAGGGCTTCCGCGGCTTCTGATTGGCTGCAGGGTTGCCAATCAGAAGCTGAACTTTGGAAGTCGAATGTTTCAGAAGTTGAACGGACTTCCAGAACAAATTCTGTTAGACTTCCAAGGTACAACTATATTATGATGAACATTGAGAAATACCGTATTTACTCAAGTCTAATGTGTCATCAAATCTAATGTGCACCTCAATTTTCAGAACCTTGAAACCAAAAAAGGTATTTGCTGACGAATGTAAACCTTAATTTTCGCAATGTAATTTGGCCAAAAAAGGTGTGCATTAGATTTGAGTAAATACAGTACAATGCATTTGTTAAAAGCAAAGCTACATGTTAATGTTTTGTGCAATACAATGGTACCTCAGGTTGAGAACTTTGCCCTAGGATGAGAACGGAAATCGTGCAGCAGGAGGCCCCATTGGCTAAAGTGGTACCTCAGGTTAAGAACAGACCTCCGGAACAAATTAAGTTCATAAAACGAGGTACCACTGTATAAACATATTTTAGTTTTGATAAAATGTTTACCTATGTGTATGATTTTTATTGATGAACATGCATGTGTGAACCATACCTTGATCTAAAACAATGAATTAAAGATCAGGGATGAAGTTGTTGGTAACATTAACGGCTCAAGAGACAGTAGTGATTGTCTCTGGAAGTGCCATCCTCTGCTCACTTTTTATGGAGAATCCAGATAATGTCACTGAAGTCCAGTGTTTTCTACGTTGACAGCCTGTTCCCCACCACTCTGACCTGATTTTTGATTATTTTCCCCCAAATAAAATGTATTAATAACATCAGCTGGTCTTATTGGATCACTTTTTAGCAGGCTCCTTGTATCTTTTATTTAAACAATTCCTGTTATAAAGGTTGAGGGTTGAGCCTTTTTTCAGCTTCCCATTGACTACAGCTAAATTAGTGATTAATGTCCTTTAAAATAAGATTTCCACTCAAACACTGGGCTGTATAAAAGGAGGGTGACAGTACTAAGCTCAGGTGGGTCGAGGAACTACTCTGACTTTTGCCCTCTATGACTGCATGGGCCTCATCCCTTGGGGCAGAAGCTATTTTCACCTGAAATCTAGTAGCATGCATCACTTGGACAGAAGCATTCACTATATTAGGCTACAAGATCCTATCCTAGAGCTTTAACATGGCAAGAATCACTTTGGGCAGTTCATACACTGGGGCACAAGAATAAGTGACAGTGCTGGCCTTAGGCTAAGTGGTAATCTACCACTTAGTTGAAACAGGCCAGGACTCTGCTTCGCTTTTCAGATGAAAGAGGTGCCAAAGAAAGTATTTCAAGACATCATGTGATGAAGGAAGGAAATCAGGAAGGCTGGTTTCAGCATCTTGTGTTCATCTGGGTAAAGGAGTTGATTCTTCCTAAACAGACTGTTTCCGCGGCACAATGGCAGGGAGCCTAGGAATCTGCTCCAGGAGAACCAGAAGATGCCGGAAAATCAGGAATCACAGGAATAAATATGGAAATGGCCAACCGGGAGTCCGTTCATTTGACTCACACTTCATGATGCTAATGCCAGAGGCCCCTCACAGCTCTTTAATGAGTAAAAGAGACTTGCCAAAGCCACTCCCTTCCCCTCAAAACTGAAGCACTATTTGGATCGCATTGCGTGTGAATGTGTCAAGCTCACCCATAGTTCAAAGTCACCAATAAGCCAAGGATGTGAACATGGAAGTACGGTAGTTCTATCTATGGGCCACCTCCGAAAGCAGCAACATGCAAAACGTATCACCATAACCTTGGGGGATACTGTGGATAATATTCTTCGAACTGCTAACCCCCGTAGATCTATTAGCAGGTTTGGAGTTTATGTTTTTGGTACGGACTATTACCGTATTTTTCGCTCTATAACACGCACCTGACCATAACACGCACATCGTTTTTAGAGGAGGAAAACAAGGGAAAAAATTCTGAATGAAACAGTGGATGTATCCTTTTTGTGCTTCATGCTGTGGCCACAGACATGTGATCTGATGGTGAATTTGGGGTAGCTCAATGCAAAGATCCTGAGGATCCATGTGGATCCATGCTTTTTAACCACGTTTTTGCACCATTGCAGCCCCAGGCAACAGTGGGTGTGTGATTTTTGGGGGGCAGGCTGCTATGTGATCTGATGGTGGATTTGGGGTGGCCCAATGCAAAGATCCTGAGGATCCATGTGGATCCATGCTTTTTAACCACGTTTTTGCACCATTGCAGCCCCAGGCAACAGTGGGTGTGTGATTTTTGGGGGGCAGGCTGCTATGTGATCTGATGGTGAATTTGGGGTGGCCCAATGCAAAGA